AAATTTTTATTGAATTTCCATTTCGAGCATAACAACAGTATAAGCATATCACATACTGCGATGCATAGAAGCATATCGCATACTACGATCCATAGATTTATCCTTTATAAATATTCTTTTAACCAAAACTTCATATTATGAAACCAAATTATAATAGCTATTTTTGCTTAATAATATCATGTAAAATTATTATTATATATTATAAAAATATTAGACAGCCAATAAGTTGTATAATAATTTTGTGTTTACCTATATAAATGTATAATCCTTGTAAAATAATTAAATAATTATACTGTATATTAAATATTTAGAGGTTGCCTTAATAAATTAAAAACTATCTTTTAACAAAATTATTGTAAAAGCTTTAAATTATGATTACGGCTAGTTTACAAAGTCAAGTATAATTTTTAAGTCAAAGCATTATAAATATATTAATTACCAAATTACCAGAACTGGTTCGGTTGATATAATAAAATTTACTGTAAATGGTTTAGTATCCTACTTATTTGTGATAAATGGTGATAAACGATATTTGTACGTATTTATAACCGAACCGGATCAATTTTGAATTATTTTTGTAAATCTTGTAAGTTTGAATTCGGAGGTTTAGGGTGTATTTCATAATTAGGCCCTAAAAATTAGGCAAGATAATTTTTTTATTGGTTTTTATTTTTTAACCTATAAATGTATTTTTTTTTATAATAATAGAGTTCCAATCTGGATAAATCCATATCTGAATTATCTGGATAAAATCCATATCTATCCGGATAATCTGACAGATATTCAGATAACTATTCGAATATCAATAGTAAATATAGTAAATGTATATCCGATAAATATGGATTACGGATATCTAATGGATAAATGGATAAATAGATAATAGACAGGAACACTATATAATAATCATAGTTGTAATTCATATGAGAATATACTAATAATTAGATAATTCAAATACAAAAATTCTTTAAACGAATGTAAAAAATAAACATAAATCTAATAAAAAAAATATATAGAGATAGAAATATAAATCTAAAATATAGAAATATTATGATTTTTACAAAATTCCATAGCTTCCGAATGATTATGTTGAGCAGCCTCTCTAATATATTTTATACCCAACTCTTCATCTTTAACACCAGCAAGACCGGCATAAAAAATATTTCCAGCATTATACATACCAACAGAAAGTCCATTATCAGCAGCTTTTTGAAAATATTTTGCTGCTTCAGAAAAATTTCTATCGACACCCGTTCCGTGAAATAAACATAATCCATATTTTAGTTGAGCATCAGGTACTTCATCACCTGAATCGGCAACTTCTTTAAATAATTCAGCGGCACGTTTCTCTCTTTCTTTATCAGTATAGGAAGTATTTACTAGCTTTTTATAAAGATAATAACCAACAAAATATTTGGCTTTTAAATTTCCTATAATTCAATATAAAATTTGTTAAGAATAAAATAAAAATAAGTTAAAATGATATAATGAATAGAAACAGTTCTATAAAATTACCTGATTTTGCATATGCATTGAAGCATTTGTAAGCCATTTCTAAGTTTCCGTTAGTAACGCGATGAGCTAATGCAGCTTCTTTCATTGTCATATAATTAAATTCAGCAAAGTTAATAACCTCAGAAACTTTAATATTATCATCATCATCGGGAGTAAGTAGCATATGCGGAATTTCTTTAGTTTCACAAGTGGGTTCACTGGGTACATTTATAGGAGTCACAGGCCTATGCGAAAGTAAATTTTCCTGAAGTTTTTTAAGTGTTTTGAACATTTCTGTTATAGTTGGCCTAAAGTCTGGATCTGCGCCAACGGCTACATTATAATATAAATAAAATAAAAAAGAGGTGTTAAAATACAATATAAATACAAGTATAAATACAAATATAAGTAAATATTAATGATAAAATTCAAACCTTTCATGGAAATTTCCTTATATTCCTTTGGCAAATTAGAAAAAGGTGTAAATGGTTCACGATATTTTTCTTTATCTACACGGTTTTTAATTTCCATAATGTCATCAAGGTGCTTATATGGAACTTTTTGCTCAGCTAATTCCCATAAGAGAATACCAAAGCTAATTATTATAGGTTAAAAGTATTGAAAAAGGATAAATCTATTGATAAATCTATTGATAAATCTATTGATAAATCTATTGATAAATCTATTGGTAAAATTGAAGAAATTTCATACCTGTAAACTTCACATTTAGTATTATATTTGTTAGTATTTCTGTATAACATTTCAGGAGCAGAGTAACGAACAGTTTGTAATGACACAGCCAATCTCCTTGTTTCATCTCTAAAGTGTCTACTAAGTGAAAAGTTGGCAATTTTGGCAGTTTCATTCGCTTTTATCAAGATATTTTCAGGTCGAATATCGCGATGAACTATCTATATTATAATTATATTATTTAAATATAGTTCAATAATACAGAATTTAATAGAATAATAAATGAGAAATATAAAATACCTCTACGGCTCGTAAAAAGTTTAAACCACGAGCAATGTCAACCGCAATATTTATTTTTATCCTAGCATCAATAGGGCCACCATAATTTTCATAAAATTCTCGTAAGTTACCAAGTTCAGCCCATTCAGACACTAAATAACGTCTCTCGCCATCAGAAACAAGACCATAAAATTGAATTATTTGATGGCAATCCTTAAGTTTCATAAGAATAGCGACATGACTACGTATATCATTCTTGACCGCAGGAGTATCAGATTCATCAGCTACAAGTTTAAAAGCAACAGCTTCACTATCAATTAGGCGAATATGTTTCTTGATTTTTTTTCCACGTGTTTCGTCAGTTTCTTTAAAATCAGCGAGTTTAAGTGGCTGATTTTGAATATCAATCGCCTCTTGAATTTGATCTTGATTAGTTTTTGAATCCAAAATAAGACTCTTAATTACACTTATTTCTTTCACTGTTTTACTAATTTTATTATTCACATCAGTAATACCACCATCAATTTTTGAAAGATACTAATAATTATTACAAATATTTAAATGCTAAATAATTACATATTAACCATTTATTATAAAAGACTATAAAAAATAAAGATGAAATAAAGCACCTGATGAAGTTCTTCGAGATCATCTTGTATGATCTTTGTTTCATCTTCAATTCGTTTAGTACGAGCTTGAGTGTCAATAGCGATACCAAATTTCAAGGTATTTGTGTATCCATCAAATTCGGAAGTTAATTCAAAGAAAGTATTTTCGATGGATTTCGCATGAATATATTTTGTTAATCCTTTTAACTGCGTTACTTCAGCAATAAATTTTTTTATCTTTTGTATGTTGTCAGAAAGTTTTTGCATGATCACAAAATTTTCTTGATTAAAAAAATCTTTATTATCATCTTTATGTATTTTTAATAAACGAATTGAAGAGTCAGCCGCAGCAACTCTATCAACTAATACACGACTAATTCGTTTATTATGTTCCGCAGACTGATATATTCCTGTTATTTCATCAGTAAAACTCACAATATCGTTTATAATTGGCACGAATTTAGAGAATGGAATTGCTATGAGGCTTGCTGTTTCATAGATTTCACCAGCTACCTGTGATGCTTTACTAGGTTTATCACCTCCACCATCACCCTTATCGCAATTTGACATTACTGTATACAGGATTTAGAATTAATGAACTAAATTGTAATGCAGACTAATTTATATATTTTTACTCAATAGCGATCCTTCCATCTTTGTATTTGTGGGTTCTCACATTGTTGCACATGGTGAATACGTACGTATGTACTTACGTATGTACTGTACGTACTTTCACGAATTTATGTTATACGTAGCAATTATAACTTTAATCTTTGTTTGAATACATTTTATCTAACTATTATGACTAAATAATTTTGTAAAACCGCCTTTAATCAAGAATTTGGATATTTCTTTTGTAGCATTAAATAGTACTAGGAGAAATGGGACCTGCAAACTTAGGAGATCGAAATCCGTTAACTAGGAAATCGGGAACCGCAGGATTTCTGAGCTCCGCTTTCTCTCGAGGTCTGTTATTAACTATTAAAGCTCGAACAAATCCAAATTTAGTTGGTTTATTTAAACCAAATATGTAGTATTGGTGTTTAAATTTTTGATGGTAAATTAACAGTAAATTAACAGTAAATTATCAGTAAATTACCGATAAATTGTCGGTAATTTCACAACACTATAGGGACGATTATTCATAGTCAATTTTCTAAATACTGGATGATTTTTTATTTTTAAGATTTTAACGTTAATTAAAGTTGTTCAGAATTAAATTCTATAAGTAGAACGATATCTTCTCTGGAAATTAGAACGATATCTTCTCTGGAAATCAGAATTTCAAAATTTGTCAACGTATGACAGGTCAATGACCGGCGGTCAATAACCGGTTATAACGTTGACAAATTTTGAAATTCTGGGTTCCAAAGAAGATATCGTCTTTCCGCTTATAAGATGGGATGAACAGAATTAAAAGTTTAAAAATAAAAAGTCATCACAGTATTTAGAAAATTGACTATGAATAATTGTGACCGTTTGTGACCGAACCCATCCCTACACAACACTAATGAAATAAATGCCTTTAGCATCAATTTCTTGTCTATATTGTAATATTATATCAGATATCTTTTCTATTATTTTTTTTCTCTTTGTAAAATATCGAAACAAGTTTATATTGCCAATCATTTTATGGATTAGATTAAGATTTTTCAATGGGTCTAACCATAAATCATTTATCAAGAAAATTCCGAGAAATCTGTCAGACATAATTGCGCCAATAGGTACTGTAATTCTGCACAGAACATACTACTGTATCTGCTACGCACATACGTACGCACATACGTACATACGTGCGTACGTAACATATAAAAAAACAATATGTGTAACAGATTTTGCATAACATCACACAATGCTGTAGTTTAGATATACACGACTTAACTTCTTGGGTATAACGCAAGTATGCATACAAGTTCCTTTATTTACAATCATCTTTCCGTAAAAAAGCATCTGCATTGTCGTTATTTCTACATAGCGATAGACATAAAAAGTGTCCTTTATTTTCTCGCAATAAAGATTTCTGACTATAATGGATTGTATGTTTATTAAATAAACTGAAAATTAAAAACAAAAGAAACTTGTCTAATTTATAACAATTAGTAATGTGTATTGTGCTGTATTTCTGTATTTGTTGACCAATTTACATCTACTACATCTACATCTAATAGATGAAGCGATTTTAAACTTCTCGAATAAAATTATGCCCGATCTTGGCCATGAAATTGAAGATTTTCAATATCATACATGGAACGTAATTAATTGGAAAAATTTAGAAAAAAGAATAACTGGTCCAGAATTTGAGGCTGGAGGTTGGAAATGGTGGGTTGTCCATCCAACTTTTTTTTATTTACTTTCTCGATTGGATTTAAATAAACGGGCTTTCTACCTGTTTGAAAACTTATAAATTTTAATTCAGGAGAATTTTACTTTTTCCTTTTGGTAACAATAATTCGAACAAAGTGTCTATTTATTTGGATTTTGCTGATCCCGAGGGTGCACCTATCGGATGGCATTGTTGTGCACAGTTCGCTTTAATCTTATGGAATCCAAAAGAACCCGAACATTATGTTAGTTATTGTACGTTATAGTAATTCAATTTTATCAACTTTCATGACTGTTTGAATATTATCAATGTTTTTAAGGTATTTATGTTTATAGATACTCGTCATCGGTTTACTGCAGAGGAATCAGACTGGGGTTTCGAATCATTTTATGAACAAAGTAAATTGTTTCATCCATCAGATGGTCGAACTCGTCCAATAATTGAAAATAATTCTTGCAATATAACGGCTCTCGTTCGTGTTGTGAAGGATCCAACTGGTGTCTTATGGCGTGGATATATAGGCCTAAGGAAACCAAAGTTAAATACTTACTTAAACTCATACATCAAATCTCTCTATTGCATTAATTATTTTCGTAAGGTTTGTCACATTTCAAGTCTTTCTTCTTTTGTAATCTTTTTTGACAATATTTTCATCAATATTTTTATTATAGGCGGTATATCATATTTCTGTTGAAAATGAAAAAAGCATTTCTTCAGCTTTACAATGGATTTTTTATCAGTTGCAAACTTCAAATACTCCAGTCGATACAACCGAGCTTACAAAATTTTTTGGTTGGGATTCATTTTATTCTCTTGGCTTTCTTGATATCCGAGAATTTAGCAATATATTGCGTGAAAATCTTGAAAATAAAATGAGGGTGGTTATTTTTAATTTGCAGTTATTCACATATGTGCTATAGTTTATAATTCCATGATTTATTTATTTGGTTATCTATTTATTTGAATTTAGAATACAAAAGCAGATGGGGCAATTTCTAAACTTTTTGCTGGAAAAGTCAAAAGTTATATTAAATGTGTTAATGTAAATTATGAATCAATACGAATTGAAGATTACTATGGTAAACATGTTTATTATTTTATTCACTATTCCATCTATTTTATCCTTATAATAGTTTTTTTTTCAAATAGATATTCAACTTAGCGTGAAAGGATGCAAAAATTTAGATGACTCTTTTCTTGATTATACACAAGAAAAAACTTTAGATGGTGATAATAAATATAAAGCAGAGGATTATGGCTTACAAGTAAGTTTTTTTACAATTTACCCTGTTGTCAAGAAAAGTTTTTATACATACGTATATATTTATAGGTTGCAAAAAAAGGTGTAATGTTTGAAAGTTTTCCTCCAGTATTATACCTGCACTTGGATCGATTTGAATATGATGCTCAGAATAACTGTATGGTTAAGGTAATAATAATTTATAATATTTGTAAATTAATGTAAAACTTCAATTCTAATTTCTATGATTTCTATTGCAGATAAATGATCGTTATGAATTTCCCTTGGAAATTGATTTACAAAAATATCTATCACCAGATGCTGATAGATCAAAACCGTATAAATATTCATTGCACGGGTTTGTAATCAAATTTTGATCATATTATTCGTAATATTATTAATGATATTATTAGTGATATTATTAATGATATTATTAGTGATAATATTATTAATGATATTATTAGTGATATTGTTAATGATATTATTAATGATATTAACTCTGATTTTTTTTTAATCGAAAATAGTGTATTCATTCACGAAGATTGTCACGACGATTATTTTGATAATAATCGTTATTTTGCTTTGTTAAGACCTGAAAAAAATCGACGATGGTTTGTTTCAACCTTATCAAGTATTCATTCGTTGTATACAATGCGTTAACTTTTCATTTATAATAGGAAAAAATTTGCTGATGATCGAGTTACATTGGTAACCGAAAAAAAGGTACTTGATGATAATTACTGTGGTAGTGATTCAGTGAATGTATACATGCTAGTATATATTCGTGATTATGATATCGATGAAGTTCTATCCCCTATAATACCAGATGACATACTAATATATTTACGTGAGTAATGATATCGTTTTCATTAAAAATTTACCTACGATTACGAACTAGTTTTTTTTTTTTTTATATAGAAAGACGTTTGCAAGAAGAAAAAGCGGTACGTTTCCGAAAGAAAGAAGAAAATAATTTATATTTACAAACTTGGGTAATTTTGCATAATTTATTAAGTCATCATTTAATTATTAATTATTATAGTTATGCTTACCTTAGTTTTTTTATTCAGGTTGTAACTGAAGAAAACATTAAAAATCATCAAGGATTTGAACTTGTTAATTTTGATAATCAATATGCATGTTCGGAAATTTCTCAATTTGAAATTTTAAAAGAGGATACTTACGGTGCTTTCAAAAGGATAGTTGCTGAAAAGTTTAAACTCCAAGTGGATCAAATAAGGTTTTGGGTTCTTGTAAGTCGATTAAATAAAACTATTAGGTTAGATATTCCGATTTTAGATAGCTATAACGATACACGTGAGTTTACAATGCTTGTATTGAATAATTTTATCTTTTATTACAAATTCTTTAATAACATTGACTATTTTTTACTATTAGCGATGGATGCAATTAGAATGGAATTGGCCCCACGGTGTGAAGGATTGATGAAATTGTATATGGAGATATTTGAAAAGCAAATAAATGGAAAGGTGATGTCAACTTTTGCAATATATTTCAGTCGACTTCCTATAAGTTAGAATCACTTAGAGAACATTAAATAAGGTCTCATTTAAAAGATTCTATGAGAATCGACTGTATTTATCTAATCTTAATGTTATTATAACCAATACAGAAATGGTTTCAATCATCTAAAGAGATCTCTCGTTTTCTTGTCTTTATTAAATATTTTGATCCATATACACAATCATTAGAGTATGTAAATTCAAACATATGTAATATTTACTAATATAGAATTAAAAGTTTACTTGCGATAAAATTAATATAACATTTGTTTTAATTGAACAGAAGCTTAGGTCATTTATATGTTCAGGAATTTGGTAAAGTTAGTGACATTTTTCCAATTCTTTGCAAGAAAAAGAATTTCCCACCAAATACGCCTTTGACGTTATATGAAGTAAGTTATTCTTGTCTTATAATTTACCATATATTTTTATTTAATATATACATTCTAAAATTTAGGAAATTAAACCAAGCATGATTGAAAAA